AAAGTACAAATTGCACACACTCTTTGACTCAGCAATTCCTTCTCTCAAAAATTATCCTACAAAAATACTTAGACACATGAGAAAGATTAAATATAGTATTTATAACGGTGAATGGAGACATGTTTCCATCAATAGATGAATTGTGAAATTATAATAAAACTATACTATTGAATGTTATGCCATTTTCTTTTCATTTCTCTAAATGAAGCAAGTGTCCATGTATTAATATAAGAAATACAGAGTACATCCCATAACATATTAAATTAATTTGAATAGTAATAATACAGTGTTCTATTTTTTTTAACTATACATATGTGTAGATGTTCCTGTATGTATGAGGACAGAGGGAAGAGGGAGAAGGGAAAGGCAGCTTTAGGATATACCAGTTAAATGTCAATTTTAGAGAATGGGAAGAGGGAAGAATAAGGAAACATCTTTCACATTTTACTTTATATGCTTGTTTTGTTTAAATTTTGTTCATTTATATAAACTGCTTTTGAATTTGAACAAAGAGACTCTTGTAATCAAATCAAGTTATATGTAATTTATGTAATTTAAATAGGAATAACTCCATAGCAGGGTGTAGTGGCATATGCCTGTAATCACAGCCATGGAAAGGAGAATCTCTGAAAGTTCAAGGCTATCATGGTCTCCATGTAAGTTACTACTACCAAAATTTTTCATCTAGAAGATTGAAGGTTAGGGCAACTATAAACTCAGTGAAATACCTGTGATCATTCAATCAAATATCTTCATTTTTCAGTTGAGGAAAAAAAAAAAAGCTTGAAGTCATGGGACAATTCACAGCCAGAACCAGAAGTCAGGTTTCTATTCTAGCCCTGGTGTTCTTTTACTTCCTTTCAGATTTCCCTGAGTCTTCAGCCTGATGACATAGTATGAGATATTTTTGTCTCATGAATATTAGATGTCCCTGTATTTAAATTTTAGAACAAAAATATGTAAGAAAGTTAAAATGTAGTTAGATGTGGTAATGTACCCCTTTAATCCCAGCAACGGGGAGGCATATCTCTGTGAGTTTGAGGTTATTTTGGTCTACACAGGGGGTTCCAGACCAGCCAGGGCTACATAGTGAGGTCCTGTCTCAAAAAATGGTGTACACCTTTAATCCCAGCACTTGGGAGGCAGAGGTAAGCGGATCTATGTGACTTCGAGGCCAACCTGATCTACAGAGAGTTCCAGTACAGCCAGGGCTACACAGAGAAACCCTGTCTAAAAAAAAAAAAAAAAGTATATGCCTTCACAGTCTTGAAAAGCTGACTCTCAACAAAAAATTAGTGTGTTTTAGAATAAAAATATGTAACAAACTAAAATGTGTGTGCCTGTTAGCAAAAATGTTTTAAGAGCTTACTGAAACTAGACAAAAAATCATTGCTGATAGAATATTTTTTTAAAAAAAAGAAACACATACATGAATAAAATTTCTACAAATTTATTATTTTGTTAAGAACTACAGTTTTCTCCTAATTTAGAAAGTATTTGCTGGGTGGTGGTGGTGGTAGTGGTGGCAGCGCTAGCCTTTAATCCTAGCACTTGGGAGGCAGAGGCAGGAGGATTTCTGTGAATTCAAGGCCAGCCTGATCTACAGAGCAAGTTCCAGTCCAAAGCCACAGAGAAACCATGTTGCAAAAAGTAAAAAAAAAAAAAAAAAAAAAAAAAAAAAAAAGAAGAAGAAGAAAGGTATTTATTAATTTCTTTGTGATTCACCATGTAAAAAACAGTGATAATGGAAACCAGAAGAGGGGATGTGGGGTCCCTGGGAATGAAGTTACAGATGGTTGCAAGCTGATGTGTGGGTGTTTGGAATTAAACCAGGGTCCTCTAGAAGAGTAGCCACTGCTCTTACCCACTGACCACCTCTCTTTCCCAAAGATTTATTTTCTCTTATGTAAATGTTTTGCCTGAATAGATATGTACCATGGGTGTGCCTGGTGCCTATGGAGGTCAGAAAAGAACATCAGATCCCATGGAACTGAAGTTATGGATGTTGTAAGCCATCATGTGGGTGCTGAAAACTCAATCAGGGCTCTCCCCAAGAGCAACAAATGCTCTTATCCACTGAGCCATCTCTCTAGCCTTCTTCTAATTTTTAATCTATCTCTAGCTGACAGTTTCTGTTAACCATCTTAAACATTTACCTTCAGTTTCTCTAGGTAAAGAAATTTGTATCTACATACAAAAACTTGAAACCACTAGAGAAGAACCACGCTTGTTGGCATGCAACAATAAATAACATTCCAGAGGCTAAAGCCAGAGGATTCTTAGAGTTCAAGACCTGTCTGAGCTACACAAAGTTTGAGGCCAGCCAGTGATAGAATGAGACTCTTAAAAACAGACAAAGCCACCATAGAAACTACCTATTTAAAGGAGCCTTCAAAGGGTTTAAAGAACCCTTTTATCAGTGATATTGATAATTATTCATACTTTGCATGTCTTATATGAGTATGTATTTTTAAAAAAAAAAGCACGTGCGCACAAGAACAGAAAAAAATCTAAAATTAAAGAAGATAATTTGTTGTATAAGCAAGGCAAAAAAAAAAAAGATAAATGATGAGTGGTGGGTGGTCAGAAGGGGAGAAGTAAAGAACCACAAATTAAATTATTCATGAGTTTATAACTTAAAAGTAATCTTGAAGTTGGGCATGGTGACTTAACTCCTGCAATCCCAGCTTTCAGAAGGCTGAGGTGGGAAGATAACCCATGAGACTGAGCCTAGACTAAGAAAATAATGAGTTATAGGTCATCCTGAGGTACAAAGTAAGACCCTGTCTAAAATATTTTAAACTAAACTTAAAAGGCCAGGTGTGGTAGCACATGCCTGTAGTGCAAGTGTTTTGAAGATGGAATCAGCAGATCGGGAGCTACATACTCAGCTCCATAGGAAGTTCAAGACCAGCCTCAACTACCTGAACCATCTCAAAAAAGCTTAAACTCTTTCTCTCTTTCTCTCTCTCTCTCTCTCTCTCTCTCTCTCTCTCTCTCTCTCTCTCTCTCTCTCTCTCTCTCTCTTCCATCGCAAAAAAAAGTAGCAACCACCTAACCTTTCGGCTGTAATTAAAGTAGTACTCAGTTTTAGACTCTCTGCTTATACACAAGTGAAGACTTTGGAGAAATTTCAGAATTATAAAGATAAAAGGGTTAAAAAAAACAAGTGAAGGAAAATTAGAATGGTTATTGTACCTAAGAAAATACCAGGAATGACTCAACAGCCCACAAGGACATGAAGAAATATCCATTTCAGTGAGCAGCTGGTCTGAATTTCCACAGCAGGTGATTTTGTTTAAATTATTACACCAAGTATTTCAACACAGAAGTGTCTCACCTAGGATACATATCATACAAAATCCTGTGCAGCCTGTTGTTGTTCACCTCTCCCACCTTTACTAGCTCAACTTCTCATCTCCAATAGGTCAAAGGGTAGGTACGGCATCTTTGGAATGTTAAGATGTAGGCTTCTTTTAGGTCTAGCTATGTGAAAGATTTGTTATTACCTTCTGTCTCCTAGAATCTTTCTGAGCTATGGAAAAAGGGATTCATTAGAACCAAACATTCACTGGACTTGGATTCAAGATTCTTAGAGGACCTAGTGACTGTGTTTAAAATGGCCAATTTTCTTCCAAAAAGAAGAAACTGGACTTGTTGAAAATTAAAATTAATAATAAAAAGAAATCATCCATACAATGCTATCACCCAGAAGGCAGAGACAGGAGGATCACAAGTTCCAGGTCAGCATGGACTACAAAGTGAACCCTTGTCTCAGGTAACAGGGGAAGTGGGAAAAGGGAATATAATTAGTTAGATATGGTAAATCTTTTTCTTTCATATTTATCTCTCACTTTTTGTCTTAAAGAGTTCTTGGATCATGAAGTCTGTGAAGAAATAGAATATACTCACTCATCTTACTTGTATTTTGACTACCCTGCCCTACACTTACCTAGCTGAATACTAAATATCTAAAATAGTGTTAGTATTTTATTTTATAGCCACTTTTTCAAGTTATTCTTCAGTTCATTCTGTAATACTGCTGCCTATTAAGGCTGTATCTCTTGACCATCTTTCCTTTATCTCACAGAAATATCTATTCTTCCTATTCCTTCAGATATCTTTTAATCATCTCATTCTTTAATGATCAAAATTTTCGTAACTTCTTTAATTCAGCTGACTCTTCTATTTAAAACCACATATCACTCTTAAGTCTCTGTAATGTCCTCATCTTTTGAACACATCCTTTTTTATACCATTATTTCATTTTAAATTAAAAGTAGGTTTTCTAGGAGGCCAAGGTCCCATATCGATTAAGCTGGCCTCTAATTCACCACTTAGTGAAGGCTGGCCATGAACCCCTGACCCTCCTGCCTCCACTCTATATTTAATTTACCAAATGATAAGATCCCTATCTCCCTTATTCCAACCTTCCTGAACCCACTTTATATAAGACCATATTAGATGAAAACATAGACCCATCAGAAGTTCTCAGGATTTCACCCACTTTTCTGTCTGCATCAAATCTGTTTGGAAAACAACACAATGAAGCAACATCAAATGAGGTAAAAGAACAATGAAAGAAACTGTTGGTGATATGTGGGTATACCAGAAGATGGGTCTTTATGTATGTTTATGTTTTGACAAATTACATATGCATATATAAACACATAATGTAAATACATTCAACTCTAATTAGCAAAACTCCCACAAACATAAAAATCAAATCTTCTAAATCTCATCTAAAGCACAGGTATTATATGGCTACTTCCTGGAAAGAGATGCATTATTTATGTGACAAAGTCAGTTATAAGTTACAAGAAACCATCAGTAAACTACAATAAGCAGCCCAGATTCTGCTTCTATATAATGTAATATAAATGCAAAGCTTACTCATCACCTCAGGACAATGGCCATGTTGCATGACTTCTACACAATACCCAGCATGCACTCGACACTAGGAAATAGTAAATTTACAACTTAAGGAGGAAAACGGAGGCTTGCTTCACAGTGGTTTAATATGAACAGAGTTGAATATGACATTGTCTGACAGAAGAATGAACATTTTGCTGAATAAAAGCCCCAAGTCAGGATATATACACAGCAGAAGTGGGGCCTCAGAGTCTCAGCACTTGTGCACAATGAAAGAAGAAATATTAAAAAAAAAATATCTGTAACAGAGGATACAAATCAAAAGGCAGCAAGGACACAGACACTGGTGAGGTGGGAAAGGGGCTTCTCAGCCCCCAGCATGGGCTCAGCAGCTAGAGAGCTAATCTATCTCAAGGATCTTCAACACTGAGATGGGCTCCAAGACCCATGTCAAAATCTAAGCCTGATCTCTCTGACCAGAATCACACCAGAATCAGCAATCCTTTTCCCCAAGGACCTACATAGAAAACACAAATCCTTCCATGATAGGGAGTCTAAACAGAATCCCAACTTTCACCCGGCACCAGAGTTACTTGCTCTCATCCCACCATTTGGACAGACAGCAGGTCCCAGCAAAGAAACCACCACTTTCCCAAAAGTAGCCTAGGAGAGTTGCCATTCTCAAGAAGCTGTTTTAGCCTCTAAGATTTGGGAACTCTACATCTAGCTGCCAGCCCTATTTAATGTCTGGGGACAACACTGGAGTTCCATGGGAAACAAGTGCAGGCAGTTCAATAACCCTGTGACCAAGCTGGGGAAGGTAGCAGACAACTCTTGCCTCTGAGACCCAGTCAACAGCTCAAAGTGCTTAGGAGAAATCAGAAACTGTGATGTGTGTACTTCTGCCCTTGGGACAGCACTAAATGAGATGGGAAAAGGAAGAATGGAAGGAGGAAAGTGATGTTGTTGTTGTTCTTCCTTACCACATAGAGGAACCTAGAACATGACCCTCCCCTCCACCATTCAGGAAGTCACCTGGCAGTGGTAAGTTGCTTTTATTCCTTCAAACCCACAAAGCTAACCCATAAAGTCACATGGTTTGAGGAGGGAGAACTGCTGGCCCAAACTGACTCATTAGCTAGTGAGCAAAAATATAGACAGCCAGAGTAGGGAGCCATAAAGGGATAGGGGCTAGGCAATAAGAGTAGCCTACTACCCTATGGCTTTCTTGACTTTGCAGTAATCTTGATGATGGGCCCATAAAACCCATACACCCTGATCCACATATCACACTGCTTAAACTCTAGGAGGATTACTGCCATGAAAAGCAACAAGGGAGAGAAAAACCAACCCCCCCAAAAAAAAAACTGCTGAGAAAACTGGGAACAGGACTAGAAAAAAACAAGTTTTGGGTCTTTACCACCTTCCCCCCAAAAAAGGAAAAATTGTCATGCAGGTAGGAAAAGCAGAGATTCTCCCTATTCAGTGTTCCTGGTAAAGCCTAAGTATAAGAAAAAGCCCCTAGACTTGCAGCATCAGTAATATATCCCAGTGCCTCACTAGCACAAACCCCCCTCCCCCCCCCAAGGCTAGCCTTCTGGCATGAGTAAAATGCCCAAAAAATTGCCTTCCAGTCCAATCCCTCCCCTACCCCAACCCCAAGCAAAGAGCATCTGCCTGTGGTTTCCCACCTCTCTTCAGAGAAGAGATACTAGCAGAGTGCCCACATGGTATAGTCTGGTACCAAGGGGCACAATGCAAGACAGACTATCAGGCCAGGGGATGGGCAGCCAACTTCAGATCAAAAAGAGAGAGGCTTAGTGTAAAAACCAATGTCATTTCAGCAGGTAAAGTAGAGGGCAAGTGGTGAGAGGGACTCCTACTGGCGCACCTTCCCAGGGACGTAGTTCCTATCAATTGCCTCCTCCTGCAGGAACATGTGTAGACAGCGTTCATTCTGAGCCAGTGGGTGCCCAGCAATTCTATAAAGAGACCAAAATGGTTATTAGTAGTTTCGGGGATCAGAGAGAATTGGCAGGGAAATGGGAATATGAAGAAGAGAAAGGACATAGGCAGCCCTTAGGGTTGAGCCTCTAGAGGACAGCAGTGAGGTATGACTTAAACTGTAATATTGTAGAAGGGAAATTGAACAGAAGGACAGGGTAGGAAAATTCTAATCAAAAGGGTTAACATGCATTACACTCTCAGGCCTTAACATACAGGACCAGAAATTATTCACAGGAATGGAGATTTTACTATCCATTTGCCCACTATATCATATTACCTATTACAAAAAAGACAAAGTAGGAAAAAATATAGAAAGATCATGATGGGGCTGCTCTTGATTGGGGGTTGTCCCACACCTAAGGCAGGAAGATGGTGGTGGCAAAAAGTCCCCAGAGTCAATCAACTCTAGGCTCTAGCTTGTTATGAAAAGTGAGAAGTACATCCTGGGATATAAACAGACTCTCAAAATGATCAGACAGGGCAAAGTGAGGCTAGTTATCCTCGCCAACAACTGCCCGGCTTTGAGGAAATCTGAAACAGAATACTATGCCATGTTGGCTAAAACCGGCGTCCATCACTACAGTGGCAATAACATTGAATTGGGCACAGCATGTGGAAAGTACTACAGAGTATGCACACTGGCTATCATTGACCCAGGTGACTCTGATATTATTAGAAGCATGCCAGAACAGACTGGTGAGAAGTAGTAAACCAGAAAAGCCTTCCTTTAATAAAATCACCAGAGCTCTTTAAAAAAAAAAAAAGAAAGAAACAAAGATCATGATTAGAGGTAGAGTGCTTGCCTAACATAAACAAGGCCCTGGAATCAATCCCCAGCAAAAAGGGAAAGAGGACAGTATGGAACAAAGGAGTAAGGGAGAGGAGGAGAGAAATGGGCAGTGGAGGAAAGGGAGAAAGATTTCATGATGACAAACACAGTAAGCAGAGCAGCCAGGAAATTGGCTTACTTGTTAATAAACTGTTCGAGGCCCTGCCTCCTTTCTTCAATAAAAGATTCCTCAAAGATCCCTTCATCTCCTCGGAAAGGGAGCTGCCGCTTCAGGGCTTTTCCAGGCAATGGTGGTACTACAATCTGCAGTCAAATAGCAGCCCAGTTGGAGAGGGCAAGAAAAAAAAAAGCAAGTGAGAAAGTAAAGGATGTGCTCTCTGTCTCTTTCTCTCTGCCTCCCTCCCCCTCTCTCTCCTTCCTCCACCCATAGCTGCAAGGTGGCCTCAAACTGTCTACATTGCCAAGGATGACCTTGAACTTCTGGTACTCCTGCCTTCACCTGCCAGGTAAACTGTGTATCTCATTTAGGCCTGGGATCCACTATGCCCAGGTCCAACTAAAACCTTAGAAAAGTAAGGTTGGCTCATATGGATCCAACTTGATTTCTATAGGACAGATTTACCATCTCAAAAGGAAGGCAATAAACTTCAAGCACTCTTAATTTTCTTTAACAACCCAGCACCATCCAAGCATTTAGCTAAGCTTTTGACAGTTTTGCACTTATAGGAGTTACTTTACAAACAACTAAACAAAGTAATAGTTAAAAATATTGTTCATGGGGCTGAGAAGATGGCTGATCAGAGAAGAACATTGGCTACATAAGCATGAGGACCTGAATATGAACTTCAGGACCCAAACAAAAAAGTCCAGCTGGGGATGGAGGGTAGGGACAGATGGATTGCCAGAGATTTCTGGCCTAGCTCCAAATTCAGTGAGAATCCCTGTATAACATGTGTGAGGCAGATAGAGCAGACATATAACCAGCTCCTCTGGCCAGCATGCACCCTTACACCATATAACACACATACTCACACACTTTTAAAAATAAAAGTCAGCCAAGCAGTGATGGTACATGCCTTTAATCATAGTACTTGGGAGGCATACGCAGGTGAATCTTTGAGTCTGAGGCTAGCCTGGTCTACAGAGCTAGTTCCAGAACAGTCATGGCTACAATGAAACTGTCTTTTTTAAAAAAAAATCACAAAACCCAAAAACCAGCAAACAAAGCAACAAGAGCCCTGTCCTAAACCTCTTTCAAGTCTTAATATCCCCCAGGACCAATATATTGGGATTGAGCCTATAAAAATGTGTTCACCATTCCTATCTACTTCAAGATTTTATGGGCTATGATCTTACACCCTTAAGCTTATGTGGATCACCTTCTCCAATGGTACTAATTAAAGGATGAGATGTACCTTACTATCTCGCTCCAGTTCATTTTTCAACCACTCAAAGTCACTGTAGCGTCGCCGTACACAGGATTCTTTCAGCTTGAAGATAGGTAAGTTTGTCTACAGGGAAGAAAGAATGAATGAAGAGAAGCCAGATGTTGTGGCATATACTTTGAACACTCAGGAAGCTGAGGCAGGAGGATCAGCTGTTAGAAGCTAACCTAGACCACATAGGGAATTCCAGATCAGCCTGGGCTACATGGTGAGACCCTATCTCAAAAATAACAAGCAACCAAACTGAAAACAGGCAATAAGTTCTGTTCAACCAACCTGTGGGGACTACCTGGAAAAGTCTCAATGAATAAACAGCTCCTGTGGGACTGAGGATATATTTCAGTGGTAAGGCGCTCACCTATTCTGTCTGAGTACCAGGGCTTGACTCACAGCATCCAAAAAAATAAAAATTATTCCTATGGATCATATACCGAAAACTCTTCCAAAACACCACCAAGTATATATTAACCCTTACCATACCCAATCATATCACAATTGGGGATCAGAAGTCCCTTGCTAGGCTGAAAGGTAGTTCAGTAATAGAGCACTTGCCTAGCATGCTCAAGGCTCTTGGTTCCACCCCACACACACATAAAAGCCTTTGTTATTTAAAATTTATGTTACAGAGAAGACTCACAGTCATGTTCTAATGTACAATGTATTGGTAAATCATGTGTTATTTGAGCTCATATGAGTTTCCCACTCCCATTTCAGACCCACACGTTTGTTTCAAATTGTCCTCCAAGAACCCCTGTCTGGGGATGTGCTTTCCTTTCTATCTCTGTGCTACAGAGGGAGGAGAGCAACAAAATGCTCCAACAGTAAAAAGTCCTGAAAACAACTTGAAGGTAAGCCATTTCCTACAGATGTTCATCCTGTGATATAAAAATGCCTGCAGTAGAAAAGCTGAAGCTCAGTCAAGGGAAGCACAGCCATGGAGAGAAAGCTCAATCAGGAGTTGGGGATGCCTGATGATACCTTTCTGACGCTATTTGTTCTTTTACTTAGAAGCCTCACCAGAGAGGACACTCTACTGTCTGGGACTGTGCTTCCCCAGTCAATTTCTGCTGGATATGTTGAGTACCTGACTTGACAATATTTTGCTATCTGTCTATCTCTTGCTATTTATTCTTTTACTCTGATTTGCCATATAATTAAACTTAAGTCATTTGAAATCAAAAGTACGGCTATTTCAGACTATTCTCTAGACCTCCAAGACATGCTTCCCTCTGCCTTTCTATTCCAATCTTTTCTGTGAGTCCTAGCTCAATTCTCACTTCAGAAAAGTTTTCCTAGTAATACCAGCTGGATTTATTGTGGTCTACCTCCTCCCTGATCCCTTCTGGGACATTAACTTTCCTTGAGATCCTGTCGCTAGCGTAGGATGACTTCAAACTCCCTGTCACTGAGGATAACCTTTTATCTTCCTGCCTCCTTATGAAATTACAGGGGTGTACCACCACACCCAGTTCATGCAGTTCTGAGTATCAAACCATGGCTTTATACATGCTAGACAAGTACTTACCAACTGAAATATACCCACATTCCTATTTCTAAGGGGTTTTGTTATGCAACAGATGACCTTGAACTTCTGATCCTTCCACCTCTACAATTTATATATAAAGTGTTACCCAGGTTTTCTTGATGATATTTTATGCATCCTGTATGTTGTCTACATGACTAAATGATGATCTTAAGATCAACCACCTGACTGTTCATAGTGGTATATCCCTTTAATCCCAGCACATGAGAAGCAGAGTCAGGCAGATCTCTGAGTTTGAGGCCAGGCCACTACATAAAGAGTTCTAGACTAGCCAGGATGACATAATGAGACACTGTCTCAAACAAACAAAAAAGTCATGACAACTTTTGCTTCTCCTAAAATGTAAGGTATCAATACTCAATTACTCAATAGAAACTAGAATGGAGCTAGTTACCCCTTATCTAAAAAATGCAGAATGAACAACCTTTATATAAGTTATCTTTTTGTAACTTATTTATTTCTTCATCTTAATCATTTAGAAGACTCCTCAGGTTCTAGTGGTAAGAGGAGCTTATAACACATAAAAGGCCCAAATCTTCAGGCCTGTCTACAAGTTCTAAATGAAAATGATCAAATGCATATGGTAATCTAGACCATATTTCTTGCCAGCCTATTCGGAACAATGGGTGGGTAATAAAAGGAACCATCTCTTTCTTCTCAACACAACTACCTCTTTGTAAGAAAGGAGTATCTTGGAGTTTGGTAGAACTTCACATGGTCCTTGCTACATCTATTTTTACAGTTCCGAAGTTTTGAAATAATCTCCTCAACCAAATAACTGACCAACTGACATTAGCTCCAACTCTACCCAAAATCTTCAAGGTCCAAGAAATATCAATACATTTAAATGGACATTTTGACATCTAAACAATTCTTTAAAAGGATAAACAAAATAGGAGAGGGAAAATCAGCTTTCTGTAGAGTGTGGCCCAGGTCTGTCCACAATGCTCCAATGGTTGGCCCCATACCCAGAAGTATATGGGCAACACAAATTGGACTAGATACTTCTGTTTTGTTTTTAAAGGCAACTCAAAGTTGGTGAAGGAAAGAATTAAGGGGAGAATAAGAGTAAATATGGTAAAAATGCACTGTATGAAATTCTCAAGTAAGCAAACACGGTGGCAAAGTCCTATAACACCAGCACTTGAGAATTGGAAATAGAAGGGCCAGTAGTTCCATCATGCTCAGCTATACAATGAGTTTTAGGCCAGCCTAGGCTGCATGAAACTCAGAAAACAACAACAAAATAAAACAGTAAATAAGGAACTGGAGGCTGCTGAGATTATTGGGCAAGTAAAGGTGCCTGCATCCAAATCTGACAGCCTGAGTTCCATTTCTAGGACACATATGGTAGGAGAGAACCAAGACTTGCAAGTTGTCCCCTGACATGTCCTACAACGTTTCCCCTGAACACAAAATAAATAGAAATGTAGTTTCAAAAATTTTAAAGGGGCCAGGCAGTGGTGGCACACACCTTTAATCCCAGAACATGGGGAAACAGAGGCAGGTGGATCTTTGTGAGTTTGAGGACAGCTTGGTCTACAGAGTGAGTTCCAGGACAGGCTCCAAAATGTACAGAGAGAGACCCTGTCTCAGAAAACTAAAAAACAAAAAAAATTAAAGGGGTTAGAAAATGTTTAAGAGAACTTGTTCATATGAAAGTCCCATGTTCAAGTCCTAGCACCCATGTGGTCGCTCATCACCACGATCCATAAGTCATTCCAGGAGGCATATGGTACACAGACATAAATAAATACTCTTTTAAAGTTTTTAATTTTAAAAATGTCATTTTGTCTGCCTGAGGGGTGTTGGTGGTATGTGCCTTTAATCCCAGCACTCAGGAGACAGAGGCAGGTGGATCTCTGTGACTTTGAGGCCAGCCTGGTCTACAGAGCCAGTTTCAAGACAGCATCCAAAGCAATACAGAGTAACCCTGTCTCAAAAAAAAAAAAGAAAGAAAACCAAACTGGATGGTAAAAATATTGTTCTTCCATCTCAGCATCTAGAAATCTAAGAAGGCTAGTCCCTGGGCTCCCAACTAAAAATCATATGAGGAAGCCAGAATCGTATAATATTGAGGGCTTTGAGGTTCTGCTCAGCACAAAATAAAGTAAAAGGAGAGGGGGAAAAACACAAAATTAAAGTCCACATTAACACATCCATACGAGCCAACCCCAGTGGTGAAAGCCTTTAATCCCAGCACTTGGGAGGCAGAGGCAGATGGATTTCTTGAGTTTAAGGGCATCCTGGTCTACAAAGTGAGTTCCAGGATAGCCAGGGCAACACAGAGAAAGTTTGTCTTGGGGAGAGGAGAAAAAAAAGAAACATCCATATCAATATAGCACCTCTCCAGACTCCTCAGGCATGCAGTGTCCATCCTGAATAAAATTAAAGAGATAGCTTTGTCAATTTTTATTATATGGAGCTGAAGGTGTAGATCAATGGGAGAGTATGCTCAGCATGCATAAGGCCTGAATTAAATCCCCAGCACAAGGGAAATTAAATACAAATTATTTTACATATTTTTCCAAAAACTAGACTTCAATAAAACAGGAAAAGCCTCAAATCAACTCTAACCCACAGAATGAAGAACCACCATCAACTCTATCAACATTATATAACTAGAACTGTGGAAGGGATTGATGAAAAAGCTCAGTTTACATTTTGCAGACTAAGTTTTACAACTATGCCTTAAGCAAGCAGTGGAAAGAACATGGACTTTGGAGTTACAGACTTGGTTTCAAATCCCAGCCCTATCTCATATTATTATATGCACTTGGAAAAACTACTTAAACTACAGGCTTTTCTGACTTCTACTTTTTAAAAATATATACAAAATCTAAAACCTATCCAAGTGTATTGAATCACACCTTTATTCCCAGCACTTGGGAGGCAGAGGCAAGCAGATCTCTGTGAGTTTGAGGCCAGCCTGGTCTACAGAGTTAGTTCCAGGGCAGCTAGGGCTGTTACACAGAGAAGCCCTGTCTTGAAAAACCACAAAACAAAAAACAAGTGTTCCTCATGCTGCTATCACTTTTCCCCCTTTAGTTTGGAGAGTACCATTTCTCTCTAAGATTGTCAAGCACAGGTAGAATACACATTCTTACTCAATTCTTCTAAAAAATGAAAGCACCATATGTCTCTTGGATCTTCAATGCTATTCAAGAGGGATGCTATTCACATCCCGGATGTCTAAACTGAGAAGAAAATACAAAGAAAACTAAAAAGAAAAAAAAAAAGGTTCTTAATTTTTTTTAACCTGTTCCACTTCAACAGGAAAAAAAAAAAAAACCCTTGTGAACCATGTACTCTATCTGCACATTCCATCCCTGCACTATGGACTAAGTAAGCACTGTGGACTAAGAGAATAAAGTCCCCTGGGGTGCAAACTGAAGAAACCATTCCTAGAGCAGTTCTGAAATGTCATGTATTAAAGTAACTACAGACTAGGGACAGAAAAGGCAAATGGCCTTTTACAAAAAAAGAAAAAATAGTAAGAGCCAATAAAAACTGAAGTAAACATTCTGGATACTTCAAATCTAAAGGATCAGCAGAGGATGGGAGCAGCAACTGACAATCCACCAATCCCAGTGCAGGGCCAGGTTTCACGTAAGACTCAGCATTGTGGTACCTAAGAAACTTAAGCATAAAACATTTCTCTCTTTCAGATGTAAATTTTAAACAAGTCAGCAAAGCATTCTGTCTCAAGATTGCCTTTCTATTTCTGCTCTCTCTCACAAGCCCGCTGTCTCTTTTCCCGTAGTCTTTCCTAGAACTAAAAGGTTTAACTCCATCATCCCAGAGAGATCTCGTTAGAAAGAAGCCCAGCCTTCCCGCCCTCCCCCGCCCACCCCCCCCCCGCCTTTGGACTGACTTCCATAACCTAGTTTAGTTATGGGACCCAGAGATACATCTCCTTGGCTTTCCATCCCCCAGCCTTCTTCCACCCTCCCATTTCGTCCTTCTGTCAATCATGATTCCAATCTACTTAAATTCCTCACTAATCTTTGTCCATCTTCCACACCCTGTCCAGCCATGCTTCACTTCTGCCTCGTGAGTACTTGTTTTCCTTCGCCCCTGCCCGAAGTCCCCTCTGGAGTTTTCTGTACCCTCAGGCCACAACTGAGTCTGCAGTCTTCCCTTCAAACCTTTCAAGCCCTAATCCTCATGTGACCCCTTCCAAGCTTCCCTGCCGTTAGTCGTCCCCATGCCCCCTCCCCTCCCGCGTCGTCCGCCCTCAGCTGTCTCCCTCACCCCGTGACTCACCCGCATGCGAACTTCATAGGTGGTGAAGCGCGCGCGGCCCACGCCCACCGTCTGAGGATTAAAGATGTCTATCTCCAGGAAGTTACTTGGTGGCCCATAAGCATCGGTCAGGTCCTGAGGCTTCGAATTAAGGCGCCGAGTGTCAGCCACTGCCGTGTCCGACATCTTTCCGAAGAAGAGACCGGTACCGGCGAAGGGGGTGGGGGACAGAGGCCTGAGGCAAGAGCGCGCACGGCCCCTCCCGCTTGCAAAATAACCAGCCAACCCACAGAAGACAGTGGCGACGCGCACGCGCACACGCATGCGTGCACGTACACACCACCCGAGGAGTCTCGGCCCGTCGCCCTGAATAATCGCAATGCTGACTAGGGCTTATACTTTATGGTGAAAGCGTCATTCAGACTTCCGGGTGGTACTGGTAGCTGCCCCGGAACCTGCATCTGCAATACTCCCTATCCAATACTTTGAGAAGCAGCACACTCAGGCTCCACCAATCTGGGTTCCTCAACCCCAGAAATTGTCTGGTCCCGTGCCTCAATCAGCAGTGGGCACTGCCCCGCGAGGTCCTAAATAAGTGCGGATTCCATGAAAATAGGAGAATGGTTTTTGGAAAGTGGGGTTCCGACAACTGTACCAAAACATGTAGAATGCAGCCCCACTGATAGTGCCACTGATAGTTTCAGTTCAACCTACACACAATTGAGCGTTCGGTAAGCAACACATGATGGTGCCAGGGAAGCAGCAAACTCGAACTGGGTAAACAATAATGATTTCATATTCTTGCTTTTCAGGAATAATGGGTGTATCTTCATTCTCCACATGTTGTTACATAACAACTAATTCCAGGTGTACTCATTTCTTTTATTTCAGGGCGTTTATTTCGTAATGTTTGTCTATATTCTGAAGAACCCCATCCATACTTGGCTATGCTCTGAGCTTCCTTACAGCCTATGATGAAGATATGTGTCTACATGAGAACATCTATAGAAAACATAAATACATATGTGTAAAATGTATTTGCACACATGTACATGCTGAGACAGAGTCTTACATTTATCCCAGCTGGCCAAGCACTTCGTATGTAGGCCAGGCTAGCCTCAAACTTGTAACAATGCTCCTGTCAATGTCTCTTGATTTCTGGTGTTACTGGTCTGTGTCACCATGTCCAGCTAGGAATATTAGTTATGTTTTTTTTCCAGTTTTGAGACATTGCCTCACGTATTCCAGGCTGGTTTCAACTTTCTTTGTAGCTTGAACTTTTGACCCTCCTGCCTGTGTCTCCCAAATGTTGGGATTATAGGCATGCTCCACTATACCCAGTTTTTCGAAGTGCTGGGGATCAAATCCAAGGTCTATCAAATAAGCTATAACCCCAGTCCTTAAATATACATTTTAAAAGACTGATTTATCCATGTCCCATATTTTTAATTATTTATTTTATTATTTTAATTTTGAAATAAGTCTTTTTATGTATCTGCATATTTTGCATATATATTCATGAACCATGTATTTGCAGTGCCCAAGGAGCTATAAGAGAATGTAAGATCCCCTAGACCTGAAGTTACGGATGGTTGTGAACCACCATATGGGTGCTGGTAATCAAAGCTGGGTCCTCTGCAGGAGTAGCCAGTGCTCTTAACCACTCTGAGCCATCTCTCCAGGTCTACATGTCCCAATTAAGGGGTAGACCAGTGGTAATTTTAGGTCATCTTTCCTTCTCCCTTCACCCAATCTCCCCTCCTAAAAAAAAATTCTTGTATCACTAATGATTGAATTCTTTCAACAAACCACATGGGCTTACAATTTTGAGGATTAAGTTATTAATTCAATATAACTGAGATCTATTAACTACTTAAGTGCCAAGCACTATGCTAAATTTCCTTTTTAGTTTTGGTTTTGTTTTGGTCTTTTTGAAACAAAAAACAAACAAACAAAAAGCAGGGCTTCTCTATGTAATGTTGGCTGTCCTGGAAATCGCTCTGTAGACCAGACCTGTCCTCAAACTCACAGAGATGTGCCTACCTCTGCCTCCCAAGTGCTGGGATTAAAGGCATGCACCACAATGGCCAACCATGAGTTAACTTTCTAAGCAAAGACAAGTAAACAAAACTACTAACTACTCACTGTTGTTACTATTTGAAGAGGGAGGAAAGAGGGGGGAATTGAAAATGACCCCCGGTTTTCTGACCAGGCACCATCAATCAACATTGGAATTACAGAATGCGGAGTATATTGAAGAGGAGAGAAAATGGGTTCAGTTAAAATAAATCAAAGTTGTTTAGAAGACATGCAGGTGTCGATGTCCAGCTGGCAGCTGAAAATCTTTGGTGCTTGAGGGCATGATGAAGGTTAGAGATAGAGACTTAGGGATCATCGGAATGCAGTGCAGATAGAGGCCTAGGGATCATCAGAATATAGTGTAGAAAGAAATATGTGGAAAAGAAAGGACAGATTTAAAAGCTAGTGAGGAGACAGTATTTGGATAGGAGCGTGAATCTCTACAATCTTCCTGGGAAACAATTGACTATGTGGGTTTTTTTTTAATTCACTTTAAGAAAAATTATATTAAAAAAGGAATGGTCCCATGTGCAGTTTGGAAGAACAGCTTTTGAAGCAGGATCTAATGCAGCACAAATTGCCTTTGAACTATCAACAATCCTGCCTTTACCTCCAAAGTTCTGGGATTTCAGGAATGAGCTACTACACCTGGATAAAATCTTTTTAAAGTAAAAAATTATGAGCCAGGCGTGGTGGTATACTCCTATGCTCTCAATATTTAGAAAGGAAGCAATATTCAGAGGCAGGAGAATTATCAAAAGTTTGAGGCCTGCCTGGGCTCCTTAGCAAGTACCAGACCAGCCAGGGCTACATAACCAAACTGTCTCAAACACACCAAAACTAAAAGAGATGTGAAGTACATTTTGCTGTTCATGGTGGTGCCCGTTATATGGTGGTGGTACACCCATATAATTCAAGCCCTTAGAAGATGGGAGAAAGGGGATCAAGAGTTTACAAACATCGCTGTGAATGGACCTCTGTTGGTAGAGTGCTTGCCTAACATGCAAGAAACCCTGGGTTCTAGCCTCAGCACAGCATTAAACTAGGTGTGGTGCTCCATACTTGCAATCCCAGAACTGAGGAAGCGAAAGCAAGAAAATCAGAAGTTCAAGATCATCCTTGGCTACACACCAGGTTCCAGGCTAGTCTTAGCCTTAGACATGAGCCCCTGACCCCTCAAAATAAAAATGGGGCTAGAGAGATAGATGTTCAACAGTTAAGAGCATCTGTTGTTCTTGCAGAGAAACCCAGCTCAGTCTCCAGCACACATATCAAGAGGCTCACACCCACTTGTAGCTCCAGCTTCAGGTGATCCTTGGGTCTCTTCTGGTCAGTGCAAGTTCACACACACACACTTAAATAAAATAAATACTTAAAATTTCTAAAGACTTCAAAGTCATCCTTGCCTCAAAATAAATAAATAAACCATGTGTGGTGATGCACACATTTATATTTATTTATTTATTTATTTAATATTTATTTTGGGTTTTTTTTTTTGAGACAGGGTGTAGCCCTGGCTGTCCTGGAACTCGCTCTTTAGACCAGGCTGGCCTCCAACTCACAGAGATCCCCCTGCCCCTGCCTCCTGAGTGCTGGGATTAAAGGCATGTGCCACCACTGCATCACTACTACCTGGCTGATGCACATCTTTAATCTCAGCAGTAGAGAGGTAGAGGCAGTAGGATCTCTGTGAGTTTGAAGCCAGTTTGTTCTACATAGAGAGATTTAGATCAGCAAGTGTTACATAGTAACACCCTGTCTCAAAACAAACAACCAAACAAGTGTTAAGATGGCTGAAGATAAGCCGGAGTCTGAGTCTGGACTAAAGGTTCTAATTCAGTAGTAGAGTGTGTGTTAAGTATGTGTGAGTCCCTGTGCTTAATCCCCCACCCCCAAAACAAAATAAAATAATTTTCCATGCTTGTTGATATGGAATAATGTACATTAAAAAGTAAGAGTACTTAAAGAGAAGGCTCAGTGGTTAACAGGCTGTTAACCACTGTTCTTGCAGAGGACCAGAGTTTGGTTCCTATGGCCCACATGGCAGTTCACAACCATCTGTTACTCCAGTTCCAGGGCATCCTATGCTCTCTTCTCACATCCATGGACACTGTATGCACATGGTGTATTTACATATATGCACTTATATATATACTGTTAAAATACACACATAAAATAAAAAATAAATCTTAAAAGATAGAAAGTAATGTAGAATATGATAGAGAGCATTGCCATCTGGCCTCCACATACATAGATATGTACACCCACCCCCCCACACACACACACAGAGAGAGAGAGAGAGAGAGAAATCCAGGCATAGTGATGCATGTCTGTAATCACACCTCTTGGGAGGCAGAGACAGGAGGACTGTACCAAGTTACAGACCAGGACATCTGGATTACAGAGTGAGAACTTGTCTCAAAGCAACATTTCTGAAAATAAGAAAGGCTCATAAAAATCTCATAGTATAATTTCATTCATACTAATATGTTAATATACACAGTAATTTTTTAGATTTAAAAAATTATATGTATGTTTTACTGTACATTGTATATGTGTAGGTGGGGACATGAGATCCCCTGAGACTGTAGTTACAGATGACTGTAGCCACCCCGGGGGTACTGGTAATCAAACCCAGGTACTTTGCAAGAACAAGTGCTCCCAACCACTACAACCCATACATAATAAATTTTAAAGTCTGAAAGAATACATAAAACTAACAGTAGTAACTTCAGGATAGTGGGATTTCAGCTGAACTTCGTGCTTATTTATAACTTTCTGGAAGATAAAGGATCTGATTTGAGAAGTGTGATGAGACTCAAATGCAGAGTCTTGTATGAAGTACATAAGTAATTTGCTACTTAGAAACAATTCAAGCCCTGAGACCTGAATTTTTTAACAAATGGACTTCTTATATTCCTTGTTTATTTATTTTTTATAGTACTAGAGATTTTCCATATATACATCTCTTATAAATGTATTTTACAATTTTACCTTTCTATGTATGTTATATATAATGTATAAAAATAATGTACTCAAGATTAAACCTTGGACTTCAAACATCCTGGGAAGCTCTCTACTACTGAGTTGTATCTTTGGCCTATATTCCTTTTGTTTATCAGAAAAAAACAACTATTCTTATCTGGGAAAAATATTTTGGGGTAGGCAGGCACAGAAAAAAAAGTTTGTGAAGAAACAAGGAAGGAGTGAGTGGTCAAGACAACTAAGAAATGATAATGATCTGAAGACAA